AACCAGTATTTTTGCCACTATCTTTAATGTGTCATTGCATAATCTAGCTTTGTATTCAAGCTTTGAATTGACAATACGTTGTATTTGGTAACACTGATTTCTTTGGTACCTATTTGATCTGTATTTGTAAGAGTGTTTAAACTTTCTTAAAGAGAAGTTAGCAAAAAACAAGCAGAGTGGATTCCGGACACTGATCCTGACACCGAATTGTAAGTGATACATCCATTGAGAATTAGCGCCTTAGCCCACGGCCACTGACACGGAGCGCGCTCGTTTGCTGCTGTGGAGAAGGGCAGTCCCCCAGCCACCCCCAGCCACGCTGCCTCCTGTATGCTGGCACAGGCACTTCTGTTCCTCTTCATCTCAAGCTTTTTTTTAAATTTATGTCAAATTAAGGTGACTCTGTAATCATGGTCTTATTCTACTGTTTTGAGATGTATTATCTGTTGACTCTGCATAGCTGTTACTTGCTTCGTGACCAGTGATGAACGGTTGCACTCACTGCATCTGTAAAATTAAATGCTTTTTTTAGGGCTGTCCCAAAGAATTTTGCAATCGTCACTTAAACCAAATTCTGTGGTGGGAATTTTCAGCTCTTCATGATCTTTCACAGCACCCTTCTAAAAAGTGGGCCTAGAAAAAGAAAGGAAATTTAAAAAGGATTTTATATATATATATATATATATATAAATAAAATTGAAAAAAGTCCAGCAAGCAAGGCCTGGCTCCACAAGGACAGGTGACTAAAGCCTACGGCACAAACAGCATCTGAATATCTGAGGATCTAGGCTAACTGCCTATCATTAGGAATGATAATATTCCTCATCCTGAGGCAGAACGCTAAGTAAGAATTAGTGACAGGTATGCGATATTTTTATTCAATCATTTGCTTTAAGGTAGTTGTGCAATTCCACACCCCTGCCTGCAGCGGGTCTCTGACGTCCCTCGGGAGCATCCCGCAGTCATTCTGACCGCAGGTCCTGATCAAGGCTGGCTCAGCTGTCCAGCCCCGGTGCAGGCAGCCCCCTGTGAGGGAGCGGGGCTTTGGTTTGGCCGGCGGGCAATACTCCCGGCAGGAAAATCAGGGAGTGTGGATGTACATCTCCAGGGCAGCTTGGCAAGAGCAAGGAGGGGCCGGCAGCCAAAGCTTGCCGTGGAGGGAAGAGCAATAACTAGTGAGGGGGAGGAAGGGTTGGTACAGCTCCAAGTACAGCACAATCCTGATTTTGGCCGTTAAACGTTATGGTAACTAATTATAATTCCTCTTCTCACCATCTTCAGTTTGATGATAAATGGCATGACAAATCTTTGCAAACGTCTTTAAGCGACAGGTTCCCAGATCCTTTCTGTTCTAATGTAAGTCCAAAGTTGAAGTTCTCCTTTTCTTGGTTTGGTTAAACCTTCTGTCTGTGCCAGTGAAAACCTGCAGGAAGACAGAGGTGCCTTTTCTGCTGTCCCTACTTCTGTGGGCTGCTGTATGCCAGGTGGGAAATTGAAGTACTTAACAATAAATGTTTGTTACTGTAACATTCAAATATTTGAATTTAATTAAGGGAGTCTTTTCACTTCAGTGTTCCTTTATTTAACTGTTATTGTTTCTGTGGTTTTTAGATAGCCACATCCCGACCAACAAAATGGTCGGAATTTATTCTGGGCTTTGTAATTTCTTGAAGTCTGAGGGATAAAAATGGATGCTTATCTCCTGTCAAGCTCCTTGGAGAGCTATGAGGAAATGAGCAATAAAAGGCTCTTTGAGGCTCTTTTAACTTTAGTTTATTATCTATTATAGTTACTGACGTGTGGAAACCAACAGAGAAATTTTACATGTTTATAGTTACAAAGCCCTTAACAGCTGTAGCTATGGGCTGAGCACTTACAGCTTTTTGAAATGTGTTTTTATAAATGTAACATTAAATCATCGCGATTTTGTAAACCAGTCTCCTTAAGAAAATGCCTGAGATAATAATATGTGGGTTGATATACTCAATCAGGGCTGGTTTCTGGGTACTCACTCGCTCTCGCTCATTTTGTAACTACACCAACAGAGCAACACACGATGTGGGCTTTTTTGGGGCAGGATTGATGATGGCGAAAATGCACGAAGCAGCGCTGCATTAAGTTTCCCCTTGCTGGATGCAGTGCTGGATGGAAAACTGGGATGGGGAGAAGAAGACTGGGTGAGTCGAGGGTACTCAGCATACCGAAGGGCTCAGGACCGTGCAAACCTCTCTCCCCTCATCAGGACTGGAGGACGCAGCAAATGGCTCCAGATTTCTTTATCCCTGAGGGAGCCAGATCTGGAATTTGTGGAGACTCAGCCCTTGGGGGCACTGGCCAAGCGATGACCGTGGAGAGAGCTTCCTGCCCCCAGGGTGACTGGCTTTCTATTATCATCTCCTGTTCCTCACAGGTCTTTTCATGCAATTTTAGGACAGAGGTACTCTCTTCTGTACCCTGCCCTCCTCTCTAGATTGCTCTTCCCGTCTGGCTTGGGTGGACTTTTTGTGTCTAATCCTACCCACTGGAAATGGTGAAACTAATAAGCCGTTTGGATCCAGTGCAAAGGACGGCACGGAGGGGGCTGTTCTCAGCCCGTACGCATTGCTGATTAATAATACCGCCAAGGGCATACATTAAAACAAACACATGGAGAACGCAGACGTGTCAACTCTTGTCTTTTGTGTAAGACATTCACTCTCTGGTATCCAGGTTGCTGCTCACTACTGCAGTGCCTGTACCGTCCGGATTTACACCGTTGCAGCCCTGGTGCGAGTGGCTGGCCAGTCTGGAAAGCCTGTTCCTCTGACAGGGACATTCCCCGGTGGCCCCCGAATGCCCCTGACATGATCTGGCATGCAGATTTATCCATCGCACGCTTACATGCCTGCCTGTCCCTGGCCAAACACAAGTCCCATGCACTGGGATTCCAGTAACTCGAGAAGTCTGAGAATATGCAGCAGTAAAACAAACGTCAGCCATTCAACTTCCAAAAATTGCATTAAGCCAGAAGAGACAATGTTATTTCTGCAGGTCTGTTTTAAATCAACCCAAGTATTATTCTGGAGTCAGAGCTATAATTCAGTAAAACTTGATACAATCTTGGAAAGCCATAGAAAGCATTAGGAAATACTGCTGGGAGTTGACTTATAGATACTGCAAAAATCTGCATTTTAAACTAAATAGACATGCCTCTTAAATACTAATCAAGCCACACTGCAGAGGATGGTGGGTTACCTTTTCAACAAAAATCCTTAAAATTCAGAAGGCTTTGTCTGCGTGTAAAAACTGAACCATTTTCCTAATGCTACTTGCAGCTGAAATATAGCATATGAGTGTATAGGAAAGACACGTCCATATTGCCATGGAAGTTGGCTAAGTGGTATTGCTGATTGCCATACTTTGATGATTGTTTAGGCTACCAGTAAGGCTGACTTCCAGGATCTTCAGCTCTGCAGAGGATTTCTGAGTTTGAAGGGGTAAAGTGCAAGAGGGAGGTCTGCCCTCCCTTCAGGGGCTGCTGCCGCCGCTGTTTCTGTACAGAGACTCTAAGGAGCAAAGATTAAAATCATTGGTGGCATTTTTGATGAAATGTTACGGTTTTGGATTGGCTTTGCTTCCTTTATCATTTTCCTGAAATGGATCGTCAATAGCTACATTCTATACATTTTGCACAAATATGAATTGAGTTTCACCACATGCTTTACTTGAGAGGGAAGGTAGCTGATGCACAAAAGTTAAATGACTTGGCTTGCGAGAAAATCTGTTCTAGAGCTAGCAATGGAAGACACCAGAGCTGTTTCCCACCTCTTCTGCATACATTTCTGTGTTGTCTTTCTGCCTAAATAGGAAAGGTAAAAATATAAAATAAAGCATGAACATTTCTAGTGATACTCTCTTCATAGCTTCTTTCATACAGACTCAAGATCACTTGAGTAAGATAACCTTCTAGTGAATGTATTGTTTTCACTGAAACTTCAGGATGATTTTATTGTTGCTTTAGGCTCCATATTTTTATCATTAAAAACACAGATCTAGACACTACACATTTTTGGCCTTTTTACCAAATACTGTAATATTATGATTAGATACAGAGAAGGCTTAATGTCTTTGAGGAATCAGTATTGTTATCTTTCTTTTCCTCATCAGTTTTTTACAACGTTTGTGTGACTTTTTCTCTGATTAACTCTTTTAAGATATACAGTGGCGTTGGTCAGAATATTTCCATCAAGACTTTTTGGACAGAAAATGGCCTCTGATGATACAAGACTTTCAACGTTTGAATTTGTTATGGCTTTTAAAAACAAAATATTAGCATATTTGAAATTAATTAATGAGCCATACTTGCTGAAGAAAACCAAAATCTGTTCACATAAACAGTAAAAAGAACTAAATCTGTGCAGGAGTATCTCCTGAAAATGGCAGTGACATTTTAATCTGTCCTAGTACTGACTTCATCTTCCATGATATTGTTTCCTAGAATTTGGATCCTTTGGGTTCATGTTGTACCGGTGGAGGTTCTGGCACTGAATCTAGTGAACTCATCATCCAGACCTTGCCCTGAGCCTGAAAACGTGATGCATATTTTTACTGTGACTACCAAGAGCTGTCTAAAATGGTTTCTATGGAAGTGTTTAAGACAAACTAAGGATAACAGACTCTTTGCAATGACCAGAGCTGTCTTGTCCCATATTATTTGCAAAGCACCATTAATATCAGAAAGTATTGTTATACGAAAAATATCATTGTTACAAGAAAAATTATCAATGTAGGACTTCAGAATTCCACAGATTTGAAAGCTGCAGTGATATTTCAAAAAATCTTATGGAAAATTAACTTGCCAGATTAATTCTAAGAAATGTGTTTTTCTTAAGAGTGCTGAATGAGATGGTATGAAGAGTTCTGGAGGTTTTGCATGCCCAGGAGTTGATAGTACATCTGTGTAAATAACCTTACCAAAAAAAGTCTAATGCGTAACTTTTGCTGCTTGTCTTTCTCCTCAGGTTTGCCAATTTGTCGTGTCTGTCAATGGCCTCAATGTTCTCCACGTGGATTACAGGACAGTGAGCAACCTCATCCTGACCGGCCCTCGAACAATTGTGATGGAAGTGATGGAAGAAATAGAGTCCTGAGAAGGAAAAAACCTCTTACTGCATATTTTTGTGAGAGAAATGGCGACGACCATGGAGCAGCATGACACAAGGAGGCAGAACGTTGCTGCGTCTAAATAGATGATTTTGCTTTTAGGGGAGGGGGGCTCTCTTTCATTTAACAATAATAGCACTGGTGATTATGCTAAGAAGTGGACAATAGATACCAGCATATTTTCACTAAGGACTTTCCTTTGCCCGACGGAGACAAGGTTAAGGCCTTTAGGTTTTCTGTCCAGCCATGCCTGTATCAGTCAGAACGGTTTCCCACCTAAGAGGCCGTGCAGACTTCCCTCACAGTCCACCATGGGATCAAAGCACTTCAGGAGATGAAAGAACCAAATACTGTGCGGTCAGGATGTCACAGATGGTTTGCATGACATATTTACATTGGTAAACATCCTCCTGGTGTCCAGCTTTGTCCCAGGAGCATGTGCTGCTGCAGTTGCTCTCTCCTTGGGCCGAGAGACAGCTGACTAAATGCTGGACTGATTGCAGTCAAACACAAATGCACTGCAAGTGCATGAAGAAAAGGTGTTCATTCTCTCTAGGGAATACTCTGGTATGAATGTTTGGGTTTGACCTAATACACAGATTATTCTAGAAAGAAAAATATAAGACCATGCAAATGGAAAAGTGTGCGGTACTTTTGCAAAATCTGGCCTTTGAAAATTTGCTTAGATGCCTACGCACTGGTTTAGGTGCTCAAATATAAAATCTTGATTTTTTTTTTTTTCCTTTTCTGTAAAGGAAAGGTGTCTCAGTCTTGTCGTTTGTCACTTTGGAGAAATTTTGGACACCTTTATTCCTGGAAGAAAAATATTTGGCGGGTTGAAGTGGGAAATGCACAGTTAGCATTAGCGATGATACATCCAGATGCTCCAGTAGAGAAAGTACACTTCAAATTGAAGCAATGTACTTGAACGTACATTAAGCTTGTTAGCACTTTCCAATCATCAAATGTTTTGCAAACTATTGACTTGCCACATGAGTTGCATTTGACACTATTACTAATAAAACATTGTATTTAACTGACTCTTACTCTTTTTCAAACAGTAGGATTTCTTCGTTGATGAATTAATGAAACAAATCTTTTTTAAAAATGTATATACAAATGCCATATTCTGCTGAGTTAGGTGACTCCTCAGCTCGATGGTAATTGGGCTGCATGGGGTTTTTTTTGATCTTTGAACTGAATACATACATCCTTGTCCACAAAATTATACATATATATTGCAGACTTTCTCTGCTGTCTAAATTTTACAATTAAAGCTCGACTTTCTATATGGGCAGACCACAAATCCTCCAATTACCAGGTGGGGAAAGTATTTTTTCCTAAAATAATTTTGAAATATGTTTTATATTAAAAATTGTTCTCACTAACTACATTGCTCTTGCAGTATTTTTTACTCACTTGAACACTTTTACATCAGAGATGCAGCAAGTCTTCAAAATCTCATATGCCTGCAGTTTTGTAGGTAGAAGTCCATGTGTTCTTTGTTTCCGATATAGTATATCTGTGGTTGATTTTTCACAGTGAAAACTTCTCATATTCCACTAATATGCAGCAGCGCAGGGAGGTATAAAACTGCAACCGCTAACTTAATACTAACCAGGCACAAAAGTGTTTGGAAGATTCTTCTAAAGTGTCATTTAGTATGACAGTTGTTTATCCCTATCGTACCCCCAAAAACTTTGGTACACATATACACCCCATAGCAGGTTATATTCTAGAGTTCATCTAGAATAGATAGTTCAGCCCATAGTGTTATATGAGATGGTAACAACTGTTGATGGTATCCACTAAGAACGGTTGGAAAAAATCCTGTTGTCCCAGAAATGTGTCAGTATGCTACAGGTTTTTGATTTTGTGAATCCAGGAATGCTTCCCCAAATACTTCTATTTTCTTTTCTTTTTGGCCTGGGTTGTTTTGGTGGCTTGGTTGGTAGATAGTTTGTACCGCTTTAAAATATAAATTCTACATGTTAGGCTAGGTTAAATATTAAAATGTGAAGGCTTTTCTTAGCAAAATGCTAATGATTCTCTCTAATGCCATCATGGATTCTTCTGTCTTACATCTCTTGCCTTAGTTAATATTCTGCTACAAGTTCCCCGTAGCTTACAGATAATTAAGAAAGTGGGTCAGAATTTAGCTTAATAATGCATTACAGAGTGCACTTTAGACTTGAGCAAAAAGAGTGGGGATGGGGGCAGGGAGAACTCTGTGCATATGATTATGTTGCAGACTGGAGATGGCATTTTCATTTGCAAGACACATTAGTCTCTGTCACAATTTGAGCACCATTACTTGCTTGCTGTTTAATGGGGATTTCCATATTGTGTTCTCAACTTGATTGGCAATCCAGAATGTAATTAATTCTTTCCCTCTTCAATGTGACAATGGTATTCAAATTATCTTTGCAATGAAATTTTGTATTTTGGAAAAAAGGATGCGAAGTTAACAATTAAGCTATAAAATGTATCATTTCCAATTAAATTGCAGTTTGTCTGCACATAGTGATACATCCCCTCTGAGACATCCCATAGGAGTCAGTGTCACACTTTCATGCACTTCAGAGGGCACAGAATTTTGAACATACCTTTCAAAATACCTTGCTTTCTGCAAAGTACCAAGGGACATGTAAGATTATTCGCAGAAGTGAGGCATTTCAAGAGATGCATGAATATCACAGTGTGGACTGAAGCAAGAAACCAGAAAGGAGAAAGCCCCTGTCATCAGCAGTAATAACTTTGTTAAGAAGATAGGCATTTTTGTAAGACTTACTCTCTTGTGTGATTGCATTTTTGGTTACTATAGATCTTGTGAGATCCTCTAATAAATCTTTATGCCTTAATAACACAGATTAGTGCCACGTCTCTGCACATGTTCATTTGCAAGTCATTTATAGAACATCTTCAAGCAATATAACAGTTAATTAAATTCAAGTAGCAGTTAAGCTAATTGGAGCATTAATTCAGTGCCATATTTCTCCTATTTTTCTTCTGTCATATTTCCTACAAGATACATAATTTTGATTACCTTTATCAAGATCAAATACCATGTGTATACTATTGAACGCAACTGGTTCCACGGCTAGTCCCATGGAAGGCATTTCACTCATGAAATAACGCAATAATCCACTTCAAGTGTATCAGAATTTGATTGTCTGCATTTTAGGTCTCCATAGAAGCTGAATATAAAATCGTCAGCATCGAAAAGACATAGTGGTGTCATAGCAGCATCCGCAATACCAGCGGGTCTGTCCTACTACCCTCTTCTATGAGATTACCTTCAGGAAGAGGTTTGGGAGGAAAAAGTCATGCAGGAGGAATGTTTGTCTCAATATTTTCTTCCTTTTCTGATTATATCCTCACTAATAACTACGGAGTGCTAGAGATGTGTCAAACGCTGTCCCACAGTTACTGGTTTACTGGTCAGCATGTCCCCTTAGCATGGTATAGACCTCTGAGAAAATTGCCCGAGTGTAGTTCAGAGAATAACATGAGATCGGAGTTTGGGCATAGGGGTGCAGGCTGTGTTGTGCCACTTGGCCTTAGGACCAGAGAACGGTCCCCGTACCAATTTGGTGTACTAACATAGACATAGCCAAAGAGAGTAGTCTGAGGATTAGGAGGAAGAAGAACTGGTGAGTGACTTCTTTCTTCATCTGCACTGACAGCTATGATGCATGGAGGTTTCCTTTTCCCTGTGGATGGAGACACAATGATCAGATTACGCGGTAATGCTCTAATTATTTCAGATAACATTGGGAATTAAATACTAACTTTTAATGTTAATTTTGCTAAATAAGTATTACTCTAATTTTAGAGACAGGAAAAACTGAGACAATATGGTTTGCAAAAATGTTTGCCTAATGCAAGACAGACTGAGAAATCAAGTGTTGCAATTATGAATATTTTCTTCCCAGCACATAATTAGAATTAGACCACTTGTGTAAGTGAAAAAGCATGTGTATGTCACATGTATAAGTAAAGCTAGACCACACCACTCTTCAAACAAAGTGAGAGAACTTCTAACCTTTTACAATAAAACTGCCATTAAAGGTTTCCGTATATCACACTTTTTAAATTTGTCTTTATCTGGTGAGTGATGTGGCTTATATTTTTCACTTACATGTGTTACTTATAGAAACAGATATAGTAACTGCCAATGTAATAATTCCTTTTGAATACACACAGTTCAGATAAAAATATCATTGACGTTCCAGAGAAGCTGAGTAATTTTAAATCATTAGATTTAACTTGTACATAAATAAAGATTTACACATTCATTTTTAAACTGAGCCATTAATGCAAGAGGTAATCTAAGAATGCCGAAGAATGTCACAGGACTCGATGATACAATGAATTTATACTATAAAGACAGTGTTTCACGTATAGAGACTTAGTCTTTATACTTGCAATTCCTCTGGAAAATTCAGAAATAGCTATAACTGTCAAACTGAATGTCCTCTAGAAAAATGGCTGTTGCTTTGCAGTTAGGTATCCATTCTCATATTGTCCATGGGAGCTGTGAATTTCCAGTACTGTTGAAACACAAGTTGCATAAGCACACACTTAAAATTAAATGCTTAGCTTCAAGAGCACGCATTTGAAGAAGGCACTGTACGCTAGGTAGCACAAATCATTGTATTGCCTCTTATATAAAACTGCTGCCATACACACATAGCTCTCCCATCCTATGTCACCAATTTGCAGGGGATTAGAGCCATAGGAAATTCTCTTTTTTTTACGTGCAACTTCTTGCTACTGTTCCTAAGGCGCTTCTACCCAGAGACTTCTACAAAATGGTCTCTAGATTGTTGTACGTGGACAACTAGGTGGCATGCAGGCCACCTCAAAGATGTGTTTACCTCGTGCCTGGGCAGCTGAACACCTCCTCTATTGGGAAATGCTCCTGCTGCTGCTGCTGCATGCACCCAAGCAGGCCAAGCTGGGGAACACTGGTCTAAAGGACAGCCCGTGCCCACCAGACTGTTTTGCCTCTACCAGTGATTTATGGACATATTTCATTTTCTTTCCTATTCTTTTACTCCTTTTGCCACATAGTTAACAATGGTCCTACTTTCTGCTTCCAGCTCAAAAATTCGTTCTTGAAGGTCTTGATGGCCCTGCTTTCTTTGTCACTCTTACCAGTCTGTTTCTGAGTGGCTCTTTAGTGCTTTTCATAAATTAGCAGTGCTTATTTATCAAGCCTGAGATTTCAGGAAAATGGGCGAACTGGCTGCTGCTTTACTATCAAATGATAACTAACATATACAAAAAAGGCTCTGAGGTAAGAGAACAAAATAAGACAAAGTTACCATAGTGATGGAATAAAATTCATTTGAGGTATAAAATACCACCACACCTACTCTTAACAAAGTTTCATATGGTTCATAACACAGTATGGGCCATAGCTTTCATGGGCTTTCTCAGATTATGGAGAGAAAAGATGACAGACCTCCAAAGAGTGTTGTTTTCCTCCCGTCCTCTGGATGAGCTACCACAGACTCTCTGCTCCTTCCCTTCATCATATCCTGGCTGGAGCACAGCCTCCCAGCCATAGCTGGGCTTAGAACCACATAAACCCATGTCTTCACTGCAAACTGTAAATGATTGGAGAATTTAATCATTAGGATTTATGTTTTCCTTTTCAGGTTTTAGAGCTTCTTGTATTAAACAGGGAAAAAAAAATATATTTTTCTCCCTCTATTCTATGCTTTTCCAATTAGGAAATGCTCCTTTTCCCCCCCTCAGGTTTGCAGTGGAACTTGTGATGAACAGAAATTATACTTTCCCGTTTGTACCCAAGCATAAGTCAGGGAATACTAGTTCCTACCTGCACTTCTCAGGCAAACCTCCACTGAGTCTCCCTGGGAAAATTTTACCTGAGCAAAACCTGCAATATGATGCCTATTACTAGATTGTAGCTGGAAAATTCATAGTATGTACAAACCATTAGTTTTTGCAAAAAAAAATCAAGTTAGCATGTTTTAAAATTCTTGTTGATGGTTTTAAATTAGAAGCAAAATGAGTGTTGAACCCAGAAG